CCAGGAGACCTTCCAGACATTCTTCTGGACAAAGCCATGGTGGCGGGGCCGAGGTAGAGGCGGTTAGGGGCCAAGAGGGGAGGGCAGTTGTGGGTGATCAGACCAGGATGGGATGGCAGTGTGGGTGATCAGGCTGGCGGTGGGGGGCAGTTGGGGACAAGCAGGCCAGCAGGCTGAGTAGTTAGGGGCAATCAGGCAGGCAGGCAGGTGAGTGGTTAGTAGCCAGCAGTCCCGGATTGTGAGAGGCAGTTGGATATCCCTCGAGGGGTCCCAAATTGGAGAGGGTGCAGGTCGGGCTGAGGGACCCCCCCCACCTCCAGTGCATGAATTTTGTGCACCAGGCCACTACTTTATTTTATAGATATCCATGTTACCTGGATGGGGCAAGTCAGTGTCCCTCACTAGGATAAGGACTCCTTGTGTATTGTTCTGGCTTATTGAAATTAAAAGGCTTTTTTTTCCCTAGCTGGTTTGGCTCAGTGGATAGAGTGCTGGGTCTCAGTGGACAGACTGAAGGGTCCTGGGCTCGATTCCAGTCAAGGTCACATACTCTGGTTGCTGGCTCGATCCGGTTAGGGTTGTACAGGAGGCAACCAGTTGATGTTTCTCCCTCACATAGATGTTTCTGTCTCTTCCACTCTCTCTAAAAACCAATGGAAAAAATATCCTCCGAGAGGATTAACAAACACAAGAAAAGGCTTGTTTTAAGTTCCCTGAGAACGTCATGACTGGCAGTTTACAGAAGAAAGCCCAAACCTTTGAAAGCTCAGTGGTTCTGTGGGGGTGAAAGTCTACTCAAGTATTTGTGCTGGGAGGAGAGCAAATAAACGGCTCTCCATGAGCAGTGCTCTGTGGGCTTTGGGACGTCGTTGGCCTGGACTCCTGGATTTTTAACGCTTTTTATCCTCTGAAACTATTGGAGGGATTTTGCCCTTTAAAGGACAAAGCCTCTGTGAACAGATGAGTCCCAGAGAAACTTTTGGTGGTGGTGGCCATGGGATACTGCCTGCAAACCTATACACCAGCAGTCTTGTGGCCATAGGAGCAAGCCACCCTCAACATAATTCCAGACAGGTTGGCCCCTTTCCTGCCCCTCACATCCTCAGCCTCTGTTAATAAACACACTGGATGTGGAGCTTTGGAAATGATCTATATTCTAATCAGCATTATTGTCATGCTGGATGTGCTATTCCTGGGGAAGAGAAAAGGGCCCATTTGAAAGATTCTGCGGAGAAATAGTTAAGGGCCAGAATTGCATAAAAGGGAAAAAAATCCTTCGATATATTTTTTTCTTTAAAAAATATTTTTATTGATTTCAGAGAGGAAGGGAGAGAGATACATAGAAACATCTATGATGAGAGAGAATCATTGATTGGCTGCCTCTTTCACATCCCCTACTGGAAATTGAACCTGCAACCTGGTCATGTGCCCTGACTGGGAATCGAATGAGAAACTCTTGGTTCATAGGTTGATGCTCAATCACTGAGCCATGCTGGTCGGGCAGTCCTTCAGTATTTAAAATGTTTCTTGTGACACCCCAGAGTATGTTGTTAACTGACTGTTAACAACACCTCTTGGGTAGGTTTCTCTGATGCTGCTCATTGAGCCATGAGTGTGTTTCAGGGACACTGTGCGCTTGTCTCACTTCAGTCCCCTATGTGTCTCTGTGTAGCATATGGTAAACCTGTGCTATCCGAGTAATGTTTCCCTTCGGTGAATGAAGTAATTGTCGTCTTCCACTGTACCATCTGCCTAGCAGAAAGACTGCTACAAACTTTCTCTTATGCAATAGTTCTTGGTACTTCGAATATTTTTAGCAAGAGAAAATTTTCTATACTAGAATTTTCCACTGCCAGAAAATACAAGGTCCTTTGTAATACTGACCATCTGCTTAATAGCGTATATTTCCATTGGGTAGGACACTAGACTTTTATTCTAAAACTCAATTAATGTAAGCAAAAATATGACATAGGAGCACAGTTTTAACTAGGATGTTTAAAAATTAATGTTTTATTAGGTTTAAGGGTCTCTTTAACCTAGGCAAGAAGGTTTATGACTTGACTTTATTTTAGCCGTATATTGGTACCCTCCATTATAAAAGAGAATTTCCTCAAATAAGCAATGGATGAGAGAGACTTTTGCTTGAGGCACCTGTTTGGAATCTGGTTTTCACATCAGGAGCTTGACAAGCGTGCCATTTTATATTAAACATTGCGGAGGTGCTGCAGGGCGAGGAGAGAGCTGTGCTTGGCTTAATGCTGGAGAAAAATCCAGTGTGCTCTTGTAAATGTTTGCTGTGACTAATAGCAACTTTTTGTACAATCAGCTAAATGTGGTCCTGTTGCTAATGGACAATTATCCCACTTCAGTGGGCACTAAGTGTCTCACTGTAGCAGCAGCAGCAGCAGACCAAAGACCTAGTGCTTAATGAAGACACATTTCCTAGAGGTTGTGGCTGTTTTCGAGCGGGGCTTGGGACTCATTACTACTCTAGTCTTCCTGATGTCACCTTCCACTTCTAGGAAATTCATGCTTTAAAGCAGGGGTGGGGAACCTTTTTTCTGCCAAGGGCCATTTGGATATTCATAACATCATTCGCTTAATAGAATTCACTTAAGATAAGTGTACGTTGCTATGAAAAAAGCTCCTAGATTTATTGAATTTTGAGTCCCGCCTGCGGTTGCCTTGGCAGCGTCAGACCAAATGATTTCTCAGGCCTTATACGGCCCGCGGGCCAGGCGTTCCCCACCCCTGCTTTAAAGGCAAAGCTTGAAAACCAGATCTATTCTAGTTACTGACACAAATAAAATCCTGCACTTCTTCAGGTGATGTCACTGACTAGATGCAGGTAATAGAACTTGCGTGAAGCTCAACTCGTTGTGATCTGTGGTTGGGTGATGTGACGGTTTCAGTTGTTAGGGCTTTTGAGCCTTTTCAGTTGATTAGGTTTCTGGGTCTGATGTAATCGACTAAAGGAAACCCAGGTATGCTTGTTTAATATTAAACTTAATATTTAATGTAACTTGCCCAGCAACATTAAAGGGGATTTCTTAAGCCAACTCTCGAAGCTGTGGGCTACACATTTTGCACTGTTTTTATCCTTGTATTCATCCTATCACCTTGGACTCAGACACAAGGCCTTTCAAATGGAGATTTGAAAAAATTACTGCCATTTATGTAAAATAATGTACTGTGACCAAGTTATTATTTTTTGTGACCAAGTTATTTAATTGGGAAATAAAGTGCTTTATTTAAGGAGACTAGTTGGTGTTTCTTGGTGTGCCTCCTGAACTCCTTTGCTTTAAGAGAAGCCAGCAGTGTAGCTTTAGGTCCCAGCCTGTGGACCTAAAACTATCATATTCCTGGTGGTTACTTTTCCAGTTTTGTAGGCCAGGGATACTGCTTATTGGGCATTTTGTTAGCAGTAAAATTTCAAATCATATTTTTAAGATAACCCAGCCAAGGCCTGGCTGGTGTGGCTCAGTTGGTTGAAGTGTTGTCTCATACACCAAAGGCTGTAGGTTCAATTCCCAGTCAGGGCACATACCCATGGTTTCAGGTTTTACATACACACACACACACACAGATAGCCCAGCCAGAAACATAGGTCATTTACTAATTTGTTTTCCTATGTCTACTTAGAAGGTTCTATAAGTAGGTAAAAAGTTCTTGCTGGCTCAATCAGAATATGGGTTGCTAAAGACTCAATTTCTAAATGATGCTTGAGGTGAAATAAAAATAAAAGAGTTTAAGAGAGAAAACTTAAGCTCTACGGGTGAAACCCTGCATGCTTACTTAAGGGCTTCACCTATACGTATAGGCTTGGGTGCTAATATAAGCCAATAGTCTATAACTTACTACAGTTATGAAAACAGTGATTTAGATGGAAAGAGATTAAATATGAGTTACTTTTATTCCCATTTTCTTTGGTGGCCATCAGTCTTAAAAAGTTTTTTAGAGGATAACTATGGAGACAGGGATATTGTAGAAGAACTAAAGTTTGACTTAGGGTGTTTTGTCATGTCTGAGTAAGTCACACATCTTCCACAGAGAAGGACAGAATCATTTTGCAGGTGGTATAGCTACAGCTTGGTATCCCTTCGAAGAAGTAAGAGATGATGACAGAATTTTACTTTACCAACTCATATTTTCAACCTACCAAATAACAGTTACCTCAGGGTACAAGGGACTTTCTCATTTTACTCTGTGCTTTTTTTTTTTTAATATATTTTATTGATTTTTTACAGAGAGGAAGGGAGAGAGATAGAGAGTCAGAAACATCGATGAGAAAGAAACATCGATCAGCTGCCTCCTACACATCTCCTACTGGGGATGTGCCCGCAACCCAGGTACATGCCCTTGACCGGAATCGAACCTGGGACCTTCAGTCCGTAGGCCGACGCTCTATCCACTGAGCCAAACCGGTTTCGGCTACTCTGTGCTTTTATCTACTACTTGCATTTGTTGTAATAAATGTGTTTTGTAATGAAAAAAAAATTCTAGCAGATAATTCAGTTCACAGAAGGGATTGTCTTTATAGTCTTTAGCACCTTAAAGATTAAAACATTCTTTGAATGAAAGATAAACATCTTGATATATAGATCAAATTGAGGTCTAGAAGCAGATCAAATATTATTTAGAGGTAGCAGTTGGGAGCATGACCAGATATTTTAACAAACTGCTGGACTTCCCTTCCTGCTTATCAAGGCGCACTGAAGAAAAATGTGTTTGGTGCCCCACTTTCTCTGAAATTAGGATACGCTGTTATCCATTGCAGCACTGCAAAGACTACCTTTGATGCGTGCCTTTCCATTAGGGGTGGGCAGAAAGGATGGAGTCCGGCAGAATGCTTGTTGCAGATGCTAAGGTACTAACTAGGTGCCTGGCCACATATGACTCCTTTTCTAAGTGCTCACTACTTTTAATTTCTTTTTAACTAAAGTTACATTTGCTAACAACTCACGTTAAGCTATAAGGACATTTTCCTCCACAAGCTCAGGCAAGCAAACACGTCCTTTTTAAAGTTTATGATGCTAAAAATACAGACGCTGCATTTGAACAGTGGAACAGGAACAGTTCCTGTGGCTGATCCTGCTGGGATAAATGCTTTAGTGAACTGATTAGCAACCCAAGAGAAATAAAAGAAGGAAGTACAAACTAAAAAAGAAGTCCTTTAATCCAAGGAATACCTGACAGAACCACCATGTAGATGCATGTGCATGTGGGTGGGTGGTGCTAACACCTGTATGGACCACGGGCATTCCATCCTAAGCATGGCGCTGGCTTGTGTTCCCTGGACACCAAGGACCCTTACATGAGGGCGGGTATCTGACGCTGGACAACCAGAGTCACGGTGGGGCCAGCGCCTGGAAGTCCGGAAGGATTTCAGCTACCTTCTTACGGAGTTGCTCTCGCCTTTCTTCTCTTAATCTTTCCTCTTTCATAAATTTTGCAAACTTCTTCCATGTCTGAAATGTGATCCAGAGAATCCTCCTTTAAGAATAAAAAGGGAAAAAATGTAAAATATTAAGGATAAGTTGACTTTCCATCTGAAGTACATGTAAGAATAATCCTTATGTGACTAAAACATTACTAAGGTATGTAAATCACAACTGGAATTCAGGCTGAGAAATGCTGTAAAGAAAAGAAAGCCACAGAAGTGGATGGGAGTGACCAACAGGTTCTTTTACTTTCCCTTAGGTAGCCAGGGAAGGCCTGTGTGAGGAGGTGACACTCCTGTGCCTACACAACAGTCTGTACGCCACAGAACGTGGCGGCATCTGCCACATTAAGCTCATAGGAAATGACAGACACCCAGTCACCAAAGAAGGACAGACCATTTGTTTACTCTCAAAGGGAAGTGCGTAATAAAATTTAGGGCATTTCTATCCAAAATGCTTACAATCACACAAAACGAAGGAAAACTTACACCTTATTCCTCAAGGAATTTAGATTAAATAAGACATCACTGTATTACAAACATTAATATGGCATACTGTGTGATTTGAATTACATAAAATTCCAAACCAGGCAAAACTAAACTATACAGCCTTGAAGGCTGCATGCTTGGAAGGCAAAAGTGAAGAAACAAAAAGGCAGGGACATGCTCCGCACAAAGCTCAGGAGGAGTTCACCTTGAGGAGGAAGGGCTGGCCCTTGGGCAGAAGCCAGCGGGACCCTGGGGGCCATCAGTGTCCTACTTCTGGACCTCAGTGGTGATGACATGGATGTCCCCTTTATAGTAATTCATTAAGCTGGACTTGCATGACTTAAGCACTTTTCTGTATTAGTGTTATATTTCACAATAATGTTAAAAAATTGAACTTACAAACCTATGTGACATAAAGAATACATACATTTGCTTAAGTGTGTTCATGTACTTCTCATAATTTTATTCTCCTGCCAGTCCCTGTGAAGCAGAGAAGACGGGCACCCTCCTCATTTTAAAGACGGGCCCTGGAGTTCCAGGGGGGTGGTTACTATCTTGTTTTCATCACCAAGTCAGTGGGTGAGCTGGAACACCTCTGCTGGTATCGCTGAATGCCCAGCTCTCCTAGCCTCCACTTCCTCTTTCTGGACATGTTCCAGGTACAGAATATATTGCAGGGCAATTATGCAGTCAAAGAGTGACTTTCCTCAGAGATCAGACCCTCACCTGTCACTGTGCTCCACGGCAATCTTGTGCTTGCTCTGAGAATCGATCCGGGCCTCCCTGACCATGTTAAGCCAGGCCCTGCAAATCTTCTTTTGAAGAAAATGCATACACAGTGTTTGTACTTCTTCCTCCAGGTCAGTCAGGTACTGGGGATAAGGAAAGGAACAGAAATGAGTCAAATAATGTCACAGACAAAGAATTAGAGCAAATAAACAGTACAAAAGAGAAAGAATAGAAACAAACACAAGACAAAGGAACAAAGGACACTGGAGGCAGAAAGAGAAAATGTGGCAGCCAAGCAAACAGCATTATTTCCTTGTCTGAAGGAAATAATGGAACCAGAGGGGGGGAAAACAGTAACAATGTCAAGGGGGTAGATTTCTAGTAAAATCACTTGAGCAATTATGGGATAAGAAACAAGTATAAAATCAAAATTTGATATAATGACACATAATTTATAGAGACAAACAGTGTGAAAAGAAATGGGCTTAAGATTTTATATCAACAAAAAGTTAACGACATTTCCACATTCATTTCTAAGCAATGCATTAGATTGACTATTTTACATTGTTCTTGAAAAAACAATGACTGGACATTCTGGATTGCATCTAATTTTCTTATAGGGATTAAGTAGAGACGTATTCAAAGCTCCCTTCCTGTGCCTTACCCGCTGCCAGCTCCGGAGGACTCTCCTAAGCAACGTTTGGGAATAGCATTGATCGGCCTGGGCCGTCTTCCTAGCCAGGCTCTCCTGACTGCAACGGAGCCAGCTCAGCAGGCACTTCCTCTGCAGGGCCAAAGAATGATGTTCTTCGGCCACCTGGATCATTTTATAAATAAGAGAAGGAAATTATTCCTTGCATTGTAGATCACTTAAGGAAACACACATTCATTCCCTTGGCAAATGATGCTTCAAACCACATGTAGTAGAGAGAATATCTTAAGGACATTCAGCCTATGTCCCTAAAGCTTTGATTACTGACTCTATTTTATGGAGGTTTTAGATTCATCGCATGCATAGCCTTTCAGTGCTGACTCCCTGAAGACCACAGTGACTGGCTGGTTATCAGGAAAATGGAATAAACAGCCTCCAAAGCCATTATTTCGCTTGCACCGAGTTTTGAAGTGGGTGGCTGGCAATGTTCTCAGTTTGTTCTGTTGGAGCTCAGACAGCAACTCCATAACAAACCTCTCTTTTTTTATGTACTTAACGACTGTCTAATTGAGGAAATGCCAATACTTTCAATTAGTTTTGTAGAATGAGCTGTCACCAGCACTGAAATTTAGACATTATCAATAAACCACAAAACCATCTGATAGAAAAATAACATGATGAATAATTTAATGTCTTACCAACTTAAAAGGTCAGAGCAAAATTCTTTCAAAATAAACAACTCCGTTTATAGATTTTAAAAAGGAAGTGTTATATTCTTTCAAGAGGTAAGAGGAAAAAATCCTTCCCCCTTTGTTCTCTCCAATTACATATTTTTCTAAGCCTGTCTAGCTACCCAGCATTATGAATGTGATTGACCCAAACCAAACTCTTGGCAGTCATAATTCTTGGTCAAAATGAGCATTACAAGAGGTCTCTGTGGCACCTGAGATGCTGCCTGTCCTGATTTCTGTCTGGGGACCAAAAGGCAAAGGCAGCCAGAAACCGTAGCCTCCTCCCCTCCCTTCTCTTCATCCTCTGGGAAAACGGAAACAACCAGAAAGAAAACGATTCTCAGAAGGCTCCTTAAAAGTTCTAAAAATGGTTGTTGGAATAGTTGGAATAAATGGAATATAGCATGAGAAAGAGAAAATTCTGAAATGTCTAAATTAAATTACAGTGACCGGGAAGTGAAAGAACGTTAGCCTGTTAATGACTGCTCATATTCCTCCCATTGCCTGTTGGAGCTTCAGGTTAACTTCCAGGTGGCTATTTCCACAGGTTATTTCTACCAGCACCACCTAACTCAGTGGTTCTCAACCTTGGCTGCACATTAGAATCACCTGGGAATCTTTTTAAAATCCTGATTTCTGGGCCTCATCCTCCGGAAATTCTGTTTCTTTGTTACTAATGTTGTGGCCCCACCCCATAACAAAGAAACAGAATTTCCGGAGGATGAAGCCCAGAAATCAGGATTTTAAAAAGATTCCCAGGTGATTCTACTGTGCAGCCAAGGTTGAGAACCACTGACTAACTCCAGGAGCCTCGGCTTGTTAGCACGTGCGTGCACTCTCCAGACTTGCCCACAGCCAATCCACAGGAGGGAACATTTCTCTATGCTGGCCCCGCTCCCCCTTCTCCCCCTTCTTTGCCTACAGCTAATGAGAATTCTTCCAGATTACCTTTCTTCCACCTTCCCTCTGCTCCATGTACAGAAATGCTTGCAAGACTCTGGGACCATGGGCACACTGTTCTGCTCAGCCATGCTCCTGGTGATTTAGAGTCTATGCTGCTTTTGGCTAGCATTTTGGACCAATAAACCTTATTTAAAATCACAGTTGTCATGGAAGTTAATTTTATTTTATATTTTTTAAAATTGTTTTATTGCTTAAAGTATTACAAAGAGTATTATATATGTCTCCTTTTTTTTTCTCCCCTTGACCTTCCCCTGGCCTCTCCTACCCCCCCCCCCCCCAGTGTCTTGTGTCCATTGGTTATGCTTATATGCATGCATACAAGTCCTCCAGTTGATCTCTTACCCCCCCCCCCCCCCCGAACCCTCCTCGGCCTTCCCGCTGTAGTTTGACAGTCTGTTCGATGTTGCTCTGCCTCTGTATCTATTTTTGTTCATCAGTTCATAACGGTCTTTATTATCCATGAATGAGTGAGATCATGTGGTATTTTTCCTTCATTGACTGGCTTATTTCACTTAGCATAATGCTCTCCAGTTCCATCCATGCCGTTGCAAATGGTAAGAGTTCCTTCTTTTTAACAGCAGCATAGTATTCCATCGTGTAGATGTACCACAGTTTTCTAATCCATTCATCTGCTGATGGGCACTTAGGCTGTTTCCAGATCTTAGCTATGGTGAATTGTACTGCTATGAACCTAGGGGTGCATATATCCTTTCTGACTGGTGTTTCTGTTTTCTTGGGATATATTCCTAGAAGTGGGATCACTGGGTCAAATGGGAGTTCCATTTTTAACTTTCTGAGGAAACTCCATACTGTCTTCCATAGTGGCTGCACCAGTCTGCATTCCCACCAGCAGTGCATGAGTGTTTCTGTTTCTCCACGTCCACTCCAGCACTTGCCGTTTGTTGATTTGTTGATGATAGCCATTCTGAAAGGTGTGAGATGGTACCTCATTGTTTTGATTTGCATTTCTCAGATGACTAGTGACTTTGAGCATGTTTTCATATGTCTCTTGGCTTTCTGAATGTCCTCTTTTGAAAAGTGTCTATTTAGGTCCTTTGCCCATTTTTTGATTGGATTGTTTTTCTTCCTTTTGTTTAGTTGTATGAGTTCCCTATAAATGTTGGAGATTAAACCCTTATTGGTGATAACATTGGCAAATATGTTCTCCCATGCAGTGGATTTCTTGTTGTTTTGTTGATGGTTTCTTTTGCTGTGCAGAAGCTTTATATTTTGATGTAGTCCCATTTGTTTATTTTCTCTTTAGTTTCCCATGCCCTAGGAGCTGTATCAGTGAAGAAATTGCTTCGGCTTATGTCTGAGATTTTGTTGCCTTTGGATTCCTCTAGTATTTTTATGGTTTCCCGTCATACATTTAAGTCCTTTATCCATTTTGAGTTTATTTTTGTGTATGGTGTGAGTTGGTGGTCTAGTTTCATTTTTTCGCATGTATCTGTCCAATTTTCCCAACACCATTTATTGAAGAGACTGTCTTGACTCCATTGTATGTTCTTGTCTCCTTTGTCGAATATTAATTGAGCATATTGGTTCGGGTTGATTTCTGGGCTCTCTATTCTATTCCATTGATCTATATGTCTGTTCTTGTGCCAGTACCAGGCAGTTTTGAGAACAGTGGCTTTGTAATACAGCTTGATATCTGGTATTGAGATCCCACCTACTTTGTTCTTTCTCAGGATCGCTGCAGCTATTTGGGGTCTTTTTTTATTCCAGATGAATTTTTGGAGAGTTCGTTCTAGTCTGTGAAATATGCCATTGGTATTTTAATGGGAAGTGCGTTGAATTTATAGATTGCTTTAGGTAGTATGGACATTTTAATGATGTTGATTCTACCAATCCAAGAACATGGTATGTTCTTCCATCTGTTTATGTCTTCCTCTATCTCTTTTTTCAACGTCCTGTAGTTTTCTGAGTAGAGGTCTTTTACCTCCTTAGTTAAGTTTATTCCTAGGTATCTTAATTTTTTTGGTGCGATGGTAAATGGGATTGTTTTTTTAGTCTCTCTTTCTGTAAGTTCACCATTGGTGTATAGAAATGCCATAGATTTCTTGGCGTTAATTTTGTATCCTGCTACATTCCTGAATTCATTTATTAAGTCTAATAGTTTTTTGATGGAGTCTTTAGGGTTTTTTTATGTACAATATCATGTCATCTGCGAATAAGGACAGTTTTACTTCTTCTTTTCCAATTTGGATGCCTATTGCTTCTTCTTCTTATCTAATTGCAATGGCTAATACTTCCAGTACTATGTTGAACAGGAGTGGTGAGAGTGGGCATCCCTGTCTTGTTCCTGTTCTTGGAAGTTAATTTTATTTGTTTAACAAGCACATGTGAGTTTAAGGGAAAATGCTAAATAATCCTTCTGAAGAAAGTGATAGAAACAAACGAGGAATTGTGTAACTGGACCCTTCTCCTTCCTTAATTTTTTCTATCCCTTCCTGGAAGCCAACTCTGATGGGTGAAGAAGCCATCCCTTCCTCGTACTGCCCTCCAGAACTTTCCATTTTACTTTTTATTTTTTTAACTTTCAACTGGTGCCTGGCACCTACATGACCCTCCGATTTCTACGCAGCACAAAGGCTGCCAGAACGGGCAGGATTCTTGGAAGATGGTGATGAGCTCCTCCAGCTTTGTAACCAATGCGCTGTGACTCTGAGCTAGCAGCTCTCTTCTCTAGGGCTTAGCTCCCTTGTCTACAAAGTGAAGGAGATGCAGAGGGCTGCGAATGTTCTAAAATTCTATCTGGCTGTGATAGACTGAAGAGTGGCCCTTCAGGGATAGCTTTGCCCTGATCCCTGGAACCTGTAAGTAGGTGACCTTACATGGTAAAAGGGATTTTGCAGATGTGATTAAGTGAAGGATCTTAAAATGGTGAGAATATCCTGGATTATACGGGAGAGTCCTAAATATAATCACAGGGTCCTTATAAGAGGGAGACAGGAGGATCAGGAAGAGATTAGAGTGATTTGAGGAAGAGGCTGTGAGCAGTGGAATGCAGGTGACTGTTAGACACTAAAAACGGTAAGGAGACATTCTCCCCTTGGAACCTCCAGAAGGAACTTGCCCCACTCGCAGTTTGACCTTAGCCTAGTAGGTCTGGTTTTGGACTTCTGACCTCCAGAATTTTAGGATAATAAATTTGTGTTGTTTTAAGTCACTAAGGTTGTAGTCATTTCTTATAACAACAACAGAAAACAAATACACTGGTATGACTAGAGAGGTGACTCTCAAAATATGGTGCTCGGACAACTTGTATCAAAATCCCCTGGGCTACCTTTTAAACATGCAGAGTCCCTGATACACACTCCCCTTCCCACTCCCCACCCCAGCCAACAATCCAGACTTACTGAAAATACTTGGAGGTGGGACCAGGAAAGTGCATTTTTGTAAGTTCTCCAGATGGTTGTATGATCAAGAAATTTTAGAAATGCTGGTTTCAGATCTGTGATTTTCTGTTTTTATTTTAAGTGGGTTTTTCTCTATTTAAAGCCTATAATTGTTATTTTGAGCTCAAATTCCTGTTTCTATTTTTACATTCTTCTGCATAATTTTTAAAAATATTAATTTACCCATAAATTCTATTTTGTTTCTAAATTTCATACCTTTCTTGATTTTACTCCATCAAAAACAAGGACCAAAAAAAGAAGAGCTAATCCTTGACTACCTTTCCTTTGTGTATTATAGTTAACAATAAAGAAATAGATAAAAGCCAGATAAAACTAGGAGCACTCAACTGGATAGCAAATTATCTGATATGACCAATCTTTGTGGTTATATATTACTAGAGGTCCAGTGCACAAAATTCATGCACAGGTGGGGTCCCTAGGCCTGGCCGGCAATCAGGGCTGATCAGGTTCCTTGCCTATCTGCCTCCTGTGTCTGTCACCACCCACCCCCAGTTCCCCATCCCATCCTGGGGGGAGGGACCTGGGAGGTGGGCCACCAGCCCCAAGGAAGGAACCAGCCCTCGGCCCCCCCTGGGAAAGGGGCCATGCCCGCCGCCACCCACCCCCAGTTCCCTGTCCCAGGTGATTGGGGCCTGTCGGCGGGGGCGGCGGGGAAGGACTGGGAGGTTGGCCTGCAGGCCCCATCAGCAATCAGGGCCTGTCGGCTGGGGCAGCTCCTGTGTTGAGTGACTGCCCCCTGGTGGTCAGTGCGCACCATAGCGACTAGTCATTCCAGTCACTTAGGTTTTTATATATATAGATAAGAAGCAAATTTTAATTCAAATTTCAGATTTCATTTCCAGATTCATTCACTCAGAAGACTGAGGAGTCAGCTCACCCATATCACTACTAGAAAAGCCAAAGCAAACTAGCAATGGCTGGGGGCACAGATGGGTCCAGGCCTCCAGATAGGATGGATTCCCCTGCGCTCAGGCCTGACCACCACAAATGTGCACCCTCAGGTATGTTGGAATACTCAATAGTTCCAGAGCCACTGGTAAGGAGACTGAGGACAAAAAAAGTCAGGGACAAAAGAAAGATAGTGGGAAGGGCATTTGGGGAAAACAAAAAGAAGGAAAGAAACTGTGAAAATAGGAAGAGAACAAGGAGAATGAAGGGTGAATAAACTGGTGAGGTAGGATAAAAAGCAGCCTAAGTCACATTCACAGAGGTATAACCTGCAGCATTACTTGATTTAGTGGGACTCTTATGATATGAAGCATTATTGTTCATCTTTAATCCTGGTTTTCACAACCAAAACTACTAGTCTTACACTGGTCAAATGTGTAAATAAGAGTGGTTATCACTGGTACACATTACTGAGCTTATTATTAACTAGAATTCTAAAGGCAACATTTTATGCATTTTGGGCTTCATAATCATTTAGTTGAATGATCTATGCCTAGATAAATTTGAATTTCGATGATATTTGATTTAATATATCTTTGTGTGGCAGAGTGGTTGCTATTCCCTGTAATAGGATTATATACCCATACTAGAGGCCCGGTGCACAAAATTCGTGAACAGGGGAGGGCCCTCAGCCTGGCCTGCACCCTCTCCAATCCAGGACCTCTCGGGGGATGTCTGACTGCCTCGCAATCCGGGACTGCTGGCTCCTAACCCCTCTGCCTGCCTGCCTGATTGTCCCTAACTGCTCCCCTGCTGGCCTGATCACCCCTAACCGCCTCTGCCTCACCCTGCACCCAGGACCTAGGATTCCCTCCTCTGGCTGGTTGCAAGAACCCGGGATCTGGGCTTCCCTCCTCTGGCCGGCCACAGGCACCCAGGACCTGGGCCAGCTTTGCCCAGGCTGGCTGCAGCCACAGGGGACCGTGGGTGGGCGGCTTTGCCCAGGCTGCAGCCGGAGGCGCTGGCGCCCAGGACCATGGGGCAGGCGGTTTGTCCCTCTCCTGGGCCACAGGCACAGGCGCTGGCACACAGGAGCGCGGGGTGGGCGGCTTGTCCCTCTCCCAGGCCGCAGCCTTGCTGGTCCCCATTCCTCTCTCACGAGCTCATTTGTGCCTGGTTGGTCCCCATTCCTCTCCCCCAGTGTTCAGTGTCTGAGCCGTTACGGCATGAGGGTGTGATGACCATTTGCATATTAGCTCTTTATTATATAGGATTCTTTGTGTATGATTTCATAGTATCTCCCAATGGAGTAGATGAGCCTCTTTCACTTCTTAGTGACTTTTAGTTTAGCGCTATGATTTGCTCTGGCCAACAGAATGTTAGTAAACACAATACAAGGAGAGGTTTCACATGGGTTTACAGAAAAGGGTTTGGCCTTTGTACCTCAGACATTTGCCAGGTGAAAAGCATGCCCTGAATAGCTGCTATAGCCAGAAAGACTGGCTGTGGAGAGACCTGAACCCAATCCACAACTGGTCCACAGACGTGAGTAAGAAATAAATGCCCGAATTATATATATGCCACTGATATTTTGGGGCTGTTTGTTATGTAGCTTTACTGCAGCAGGAACCTGACTAACAGACCTATGGTAATTATTTTTCTCTTTATTACACATAGTTAATAGTGAGAGAGGTCTCTATTTGTCTTATCTGTAAAAATTTAGCTTTTTTCAACCTAATCAATTACAGAAATCTTTCTTTACCTTGGAAGACCAAATCTAAACTCTTACACAAAACAAATAAATACAAACACTCACTTCATTTATCTTTCTGGCTTTTCAATCACCAAACAATACCCAAATCTAATTTTATGCTATTTGAAAAGTCAATTTTCTAATTTTGAGGGGTAAGAGTATGACACTATACCTGGATGTTTTGCTTGCTCTGCATTCTCAATCTCTTCCAAGGCTCCAGACCCTTTTTCCTTAGCAATACCCTTTCATAATGATCTTTGGCTATTGCTTCCAGCTGCTGGTTCCTCTTAATTCTCTTCTGCTGCTCCAGTTCTTTCTGAAAAAAATTAAAAAGTAAAAATGGTGAGGAGGGACCAAGACGACAGCATAGGAGGCTCCTCAACTTCCTTTTTCCTTCAGATGCACTGGATATACAGCCACCCACAGAGAATTGCCTCTGGAAGAAATCTAGAAACCAGTTGAATGACTTCCATACTGGGCGAGTAAGAAAATAAAGCTGAGAAACACTTTTGTCATAAACTCATAGTTGGCACAGCACCATACAATAGGGAGGGAACTCCCAACTCCCAGCTTGCATTTGGACTGCACATCTAAAACCCCAGTTTTTAAAACAACCACCCAAAACACCTGGATTTGAAAAACACTGGAGCTTATGTCCACAAGACACACAGAACTATAGCAAAGAAACAATTCTTACTGGCTGAAAACTTCCCTAACATGGGGAAACAGATATCCAAATCCAAGAAGCCCAAATAATATATATGTATATGTATGTGTGTATACATACACACACACACACACACACACATACACTAGAGGCCCAATGCACAAAATTTGTGCAAGGGGCTTGGTCCTGACAGCCCCAGCTGCCTCGGCCCTAGCAGCCCTAGCTGCCCCCACCCATTGGTCGTTCAGAGAGGTCGTTCCAGAAGGTCGTTCTGCCATCCGGTCTAATTAGCATATTAGCTCTTTATTATATAGGATGACTCTAAAGAGACACACACCAAGACACATTATAATTGAATTGTCAAAAGTTAAAGACAAGGAAAGAATCTTAAAAGTAGCAAGAGAAAAGCAACATGTTACATATAAGGGCAATCCCATAAGACTACAAGTGGATTTTTCAGCAGAAATCCTGAAAGCAACAGGGAGTGGAGTGATATAGTCAAAGTGCTGAAATAAAAAGGACTGCCAACCAGAAATGCTCTACCCAGCAAAAGTGTCCTTTAGAATTGAAGGATAAAGGGTTTCCAGACAAACAAAAGCTGAAAGAGTCTATCACCATTAGATCAGCCTTATAAGAAAGGCTAAAGGGACTTCAAGTTGAAACAAAGGATGCTGATTGGTAACATGAAAACATATGAAAGTATAAAATTTGCTGGTAAAGACAAATTCAGAACACTCTGACTTTGTAAATGGTAGTAAATGAATCACTTATAACTCTCGATTGGCGGTTCTCAACCTGTGGGTCGCGAACCCTTTGGGGGTCGAACAACCCTTTCACAGGGGTCGCCTAAGACCATTGGAAAACACATATATAATTACATATTGTTTTTGTGATTAATCACTATGCTTTAATTATGTTCAATTTGTAACAATGAAATTGAGGATCACCACAACATGAGGAACTGTATTAAAGGATCATGGCATTAGGAAGGTTGAGAACCACTGCTTTAGATAAAGATTAAAAGACAAAGTGTTAAAAATAACTATAGCTATGATAAGTTGTTAATAGATAAACAATGTAAAAAGATATATATTATGACATCAAATATATAAACAGTAGTGTAAAAATAGAGCTTTTGTGTGCATTAAAAGTTATCAGCTTAAAATAGACTATAGCTGCAAGACATTTTATGTAAGCCTCATGGTAACCAAAAAATATAAACCTATAGTAGATATACACACACAAAAAAGAGAAAGGAATCAAAGCATAACAACTAGAAGAATCATCACATCAAAGGAAGAAAGAGAAGAACAAAAAAACTATAAAACAGCAAGGAAATAGTTAAGACAATATAAGTCTACACCTATCAATAATTACTTAAATGTACACAGACTAAATTCTCCAATCAAAAACATACAGTTGCCCTAACTGGTTTGGCTCAGTGGATGGAGTGTCGGCCTGCGGACTGAAGGGTCCTGGGTTTGATTCCGGTCAAGGGCATGTACCTGGTTGTGGGCACATCCCCAGTGGGGGGTGTGCAGGAGGCGGCTGATCGATGTTTCTCTCTCATTGATGTTTCTAGCTCTCTATCCCTCTCCCTTCCTCTCTGTAAAAAAATCAATAAAATATATTTTTAAAAAAAACAGTGGCTGAATGTATAAAAAAGAAGACCCAACTGTATGCTGCCAACGAGAGGCTCACTTCAGCTTTAAGAACACACACACAACCATTTGCAACAGCATGGATGGAACTGGAGAGCATTATGCTAAGTGAAATAAGCCAGTTGGAAAAAGATAAATATCACATGATCTCACTCATAGGTGGGATATAATGATCAACATAATTTGATGAACAAGAATAGATCCAGACACAAATGGCAGGGGAGGGGTGGGTTAGAGAGCAACTAAAGGACTTGTATGCATGCATATTAGCATAACCAATGGACACAGACTCTGGCGCGGTGGGGGCTTGCCTGGGGTGGGAATGGCTGGGGAGTGGGGGGGGGGGTCAATTGGGGAAAAAGAATATCTATGTAAAACTTTAGACAATAAAAAAATTCAATAAAATATAAAACAATGAAGAAAAAAAGAATACATACAGAATGAAAATGAAGGGGTGGAAAAAGATATTCCATGAAAATTTAAACTAAAAGAGAAAGGGTAGCTATACTTATATCAGACAAAATAAACACTAAGCCAAAAACTTAACAAGAGACAAAGAAGGTCATTATATCAGGATAAAGGGGTCAACTCAAGAGGCTATAACAATTGTAAATATTTATGTACCCAACATCAGAGCACCTAAATATACCAACATACTGAATGGAGAAATAGACAATAATACGATAACAGTAGGGAACTTCAATAACTTACTTTAAACAATGGATAGATCATCCAGACAGAAAAAATCAATAGGGAACATTGGACTTAAACTACGTGTTAAACCAGATGCACCTAACAGACATACACAGAACATTACATCTAACCGCAGCAGAATGCACATTTTCTCAAGTGCACATGAAACATTCTCCAGGATAGATCATATGTTAGGACAGAAAACAAGTCTTAATAAATTTAATAGATTAAAATCATATCAAGTGTCTTTTCTGACCATAATGCTATTGAATTAGAAATCAATTATATATTCATTCTTTATACAGTAAATCTCCCAAATTGATTTCATTCACTTTCAGAGCAAGAAAAATATTGACGTTTTTGACTCCCAGATTCCTTTCTATAATCTTGATGTCTAGACTTATATATTCACCTGCCTATCTGACATATTTATTTGGATGTCTAATAGGCATCTCACATTTAACATGTCCCTCTTGTAGAGGCCTTTCCTCCTCAGCATCCAGCAGCTCAAATGTCACCTTCCAGAGAGTCCTTTCCCATCTTGCTTCCCCTATCAGACCTTCCCTTCCCTACTTCTTTCGCTGTTACGTATTACCTGTTTTCCCAGCTAGCATATACATTTTTGAGGGCAGGGCTTTTGTTTGTCTTCTACACTGCTCTATTCTAACACCTAGAACAGTGGTCGGCAAACTGCGGCTCGTGAGCCACATGCGGCTCTTTGGCCCCTTGAGTGTGGCTCTTCCACAAAATACCGACTTCTGCGCATGGGCCACCAAGTTTCAATCGCACTGTCCGTGCGCGCCCGCACGTGGTATTTTGTGGAAGAGCCACACTCAAGGGGCCAAAGAGCTGCATGTGGCTCGCAAGCCGCAGTTTGCCGACCACTGACCTAGAACAATGCCTAGTACATAGTAGATTCTATAAAGATATTTGTTAAACAGACAAATATGCTTGTTAAGAAATTATGGAAGACTTAAAATCTTACCTGGTCTTCTCTGATAAATTTATCTTTTTATCCACAAACTTCATCAACTGTCTATCAATCAAAAGCATATTTATATAGCCATAAAAGTCATTGTCTGATAAGGGTTACTAGAAAGTAAGCTTTTAACAAAGATGCGCACTGAGATGTTAGGAGGGGTTTAGATTTTTATTTTTAAAAGGTCCTTGTGTGAGACCTGTGAATGGCCAGGTTACTGCTGCACCTGACACTAAAGGACACTAAGCCACCATTGGACTATCACTGACCATCCTGTCCCAGGTGGTACTTCCTGCCATTACCAGTGGCTCCCTCTCTGAAGAATGAAGTACATCTAGGTCCAGGGGAATTTCAGGTAACAAGGATCTTTCAGAGAGGACAGCCAAATCTTGATCCTGACCCTGGAGGACTTTTTCCTCAATATGGAGGACAAATAGGTCATGAGCTTTTTCCTGAGGAATTCTTCCAGTTCTTTTATCCTAAAACTGATATCGCAGGACTTATCTTGCATTTTCTATCTAAAGAAATATATGTGAGTTCCCTAGAGAACTTCTTTACCATATCAACAGTCGGGTTGATTATCTATGTAATTAGAAATTATGGTACCACTTTTGCACAATTTGCTGATAAACTTGAGCAAAAATGTACCCAACTAAAAGAGGTGAAGCAGGCTTCCATCAAGCACATACAGAATATGACTGACTTTGAGACGTCAGGCACAGGTTCAGAAATGTAATTATCTTTTTTCTTTTTTTTTTTTAAAAAGATATATTTTATTGATTTTTCACAGAGAGGAAGGGAGAGAGATAGAGAGTTAGAAACAGCGATGAGAGAGAAACATCGATCAGCCACCTCCTGCATATCTCCTACTGGGGATGTGCCCGCAACCCAGGTACATGCCCTCGACCGGAATCGAACCTGGGACCCTTCAGTCCGCAGGCCGACACTCTATCCACTGAGCCAAACCGGTTTCGGCTGTAATTATCTTTTTGATGTCCAGAAGAATAACAATGCTATGGCCTTGAAAGTCGCTGACTGTGAATGGCTCTATAAAGTATAAAGGAGGTAAGAATCACCTCAAAAAAGGAATAAGACCACAAAAGATAAACTGGGTGGAGAAACATACTGTGTGGAGCATCTATGCTAGAGCAAAAGGAGATAAAGGCCCAGGGCATTTTAGAGCTAAAGCTCTTGGCAAAGAAAGCTCAAACACAGCCAGTCTGTAAATGCATCTATCTCAATTGAGACAGCTACCAACAATTGACTTAATAGAAACTAGTTATGTGACAACATCTTTTTGTCTATTGTTGGGGACT